CAATGATATGTGTTTGTATGTCTGTGTATGTCTGTGTATGTACTGATGTGTGCACAGATCGGTTTGTGTGTCCCTATTACACTTGATCATGAACTGAGAAGCTTTTACTAAACATACAGTCAAAGAAACTTCACGAAAAGTAAATTCAGCTTGCCTAAAGCGCAATAATTTTAGATGACCTAGGTTGACCTTGACCCTGACTCTGACATCTGTACATCGCAGAACAACATGTTCAATGATAGGTGGGAGGTAAGACTGGCAAAAAAAAGCCGAAATCAGCGTGTCAAAAGCTCACAAGGCCCATAGCCATCGCAAGATATTGGGTATTCGTCATTTAGGACATGACATGACCTGAAGAACAAGGTCATATCTCCAAACCCAAATGCCGCAGAAGCTTGAAATTTTCAATGGACGCTGAGAAAAGATAGAAAAGCAGCTATACAAAGAAAATCAGGTTTCTAGCTTTAAAAATGTTAAGTGTAGAGCAGAAAAACTAACTTGGGGGTGGCGACCCTCCCCCCAGGTGCCGGCGAAGGTTAACCCTCACACTTTCTGGGGTCGGCTTACGGCTAGATTCCTTGCGCAATGCTGTGCCGTTAATTTTTTTTCTATTATAAAGGCATTGTGTTTTATTGTCAAAAGTGAAAAAGCCAGAAATTTTCGTCGATTTCGGATGCCGCGGGGGATATTTACATACAATGTCACCCTGCTGGCCTGGATCCACCAGTAGGGTCAGGTGACCTACCATTTCTTTATCGATATTAAAAAAAAAAATCATGGCATCAGAGCTGTGACGAAAAATAAGTGGCCTAAATCCGATGAGAAAACTGGATTTGGGGGTACCCCATGTTTGGCTTCTGAGCCTCTGGTCCCCCAATGAAAATTTGTTAGAGGAGGCCCTGGCGTGGCTCGTAAATTACCGCTTCCGCAATTGGAGGCCCCTAATTGCTTGGAGGCCCCCACGAAATGGAGGCCCCCTTGGACGTTTGGGACCCCAATGGTGATGTCAAAGTTTCACCCATGTACCTTCGTGCGGTTAATAGGAAATAACGGATTTTTACACTTTATAGTTCATACTTTCGCCGCCAGATGGGGTGGCGGTGTTTCCCACAGTGGCGGTGTTCCCCCCGCTTCCCCTACTTTAAACACGATTCAACCAACTAAACACAAAAAGATGGGCCACGGTGCCGTTTCTGTCACGGATAATCTGTGCTTTGCAGGTAGAATTAACACCGTCTAAAACATGCAGCAGTTTAGCGATTTAGCGCGTGAATTTTCAAATTCAGCGCAGAAGAGACATATCTGATATGTTTATTGCGCCAACCGGTTTCGTTTTGTGGATCTGGTCAAGGCACTAAGATGAAGATCTGGTTTGAGTCAGGTAGAATTTAGAAATGAGATGGATATAAGAAGTTTTTTTGCGAAAAAGGTGGGTGTGTATCTGGTGAATATACATATTGCATGATTAATGCGACCTTGACATGGGTGGAGAATTATGTAAATCCCAGGGTTGCCTTTTCTGGACGGACCTATGCACCTACCCTACCTACAATTTCCCCAATTTCATTCAAAATTAGCTACAAATGAAAGGTTGCCTTTTGTTCATGGGTACCTTTGGAAATAAGAGTGTGTTTAAGAGAGTGTGATAAGAGAGTGTGAAATAAGTGTGTGGAAATAAGAGTTTTTCGTCAATAACTAGGTACCGATCAAATTGAGCTAGCGAGTCGGGAAAGCCACCTATGGACTCAAGAAGACCTGCCGAATCGAATGATATGCGACATGACCTCCTTCGACCAATTTCGTGACCTGGGGACGCCGACCTGACCGTGACCCGAGGTCAACACCCTAAGTTTACCTCACCCAAACAAAAAGTATATCATTCGACGCGCCTGAGAGAGGCGAACACGATGCTGGCAAAATCGCGGCTCTGCGGCCATTTTTTTGCGAAGTTATTCACCAAAAACGGAACCGTGCCTTGAGGCACTTGACCTGACCTCAGAGGTCACCGGTTTTTGTTTGTTTTGTTGGGTTAGGCCCTTTCAGTCCAGTCCAATGAGACCATTTCAGAGTCGGAAGGATGATAGGATATACATAGGGGGAGACATTGGTCTGGGCAGGCACCCTAGTGAGTCGCCGGGGCTGAGCCCGTCCAGAGGACAGGCCACCCAGCCCCAAGGCACTCACTGCACCCGGCTACGGGGTGCGCTCCCTCGGGAGCAGCGGTGCCGCTCCAAGGGAGCAGCCCGCATGAGATAAAGTTGCCTGTCCAGCCCGGAGGGGGTTGCGGTGTGGAGGAGAAGGATTTCAGTATCCTGAGGATAGAAGCACGGAACGGTGTCAGAGGTCACTGGTTGACCTAGGACCATAAAATCGGGTATCGATCTCTGCGTCTCGTAACGGCGCACACGCTCGTTTTACCGCGACGCGCTAGCTCCACCTGGGGCGAAACGGCGAGGGGGGTCGTACCCGCCCCCCGCCCCCTCGGCCAGCGCGTATGTAGAAAACCTATAGGACCGGGCCGTGGAGGGTTAAACTGGCCTCTGAAGGCCCAGACCGTCTAAAAGTCCCACACCGGCCTCTGATAAGTGAAAGTCAATCAGCCCAGTTGCAGTGGTCGCTGATATAAAACCTCTTAAAACGTTATAGGCCTGGCTGAGCCTACCTGGGCCGTTCATGCTGATTTTTATAGGTATATTGAAAAGACTCGCTTTGCACGTTTCACGCTTGCTCGTAATGACAAAGTTGCTGGATGCCTCTGGAATTTGCATGGGTGCCAACGGCTGCGGAGGACAGGGGAACGCGTCCATCAGTTTGAGTTTATGGACGGGAGAGTGGAGACTCCCTGAAATTTCAACCAATTTTTTTCTTTTTTTTTGTCTCTATTTTTTTTACCTCTGAGCATGTTTGCGAAAACAAAGTGGCCGAAATCCGAGGAGAAATCGGATTTTGGGGGTAGGTTAGGTTTTGGATCTCTGGGACCCTGGCCCCCCCACTTTCGAAAACGTTCCTACGCCTATGCTCATAACTCAAGTTGTTACCGGCCGATTTTCAAAATTCTTAGACCATATGATTGCCTGTACATTTCTCAGTCTTCTCACCAAATTTGACGCGAATCTAATGTAATCAGCGGTAAGGAGCGCGAAGTAAAGACGTAACCGTCCCGCCCCGGCACAGTCTACAATTCAGGCGGCGCGTAACGGCTAGCGCCGGCCGCCGCGCCGCCGCGCCGCCGCCGCGGCAGGATGTTTGACTTTACACCGCTATTACTAGAAAAGTTGTGAACCGATTTTCTTATTTCTTGCACGGGAAGATCTGCAATTCAATTCTGGACAGGTAGCCAAAATTTCACATTAACATTATGTTTGCGGCGCGAGTTATTGGCGAAAAACAGGAGGGGTGGGCGAAATCCGCCCCCCCCCCCTTCCACTGCGCGTGTTAACATTCGACTCCATCTGTAATTGGGCCTTCTATGCCCTTTGATGATGCCCTCAATAAACTAAACTAAACTAAGCCACAGGTCAATATTTCAGGAGGGTTTAGGGGGTATATGAATGTAAAAGTTTGCTAAAACACGTGAAAGGTTTTTGGCTGATAACTTTTGGTCTAGTACCTAAAGGTAGAGCAAAAATAAAGGCAACAGCGAACTCAGCACGTCTATCCGCATTGATTCTTTTTTTTTACCAGTTAAGGGGAACTTAAAAGCTCACTGATAATTAGGTGAACTTAGATTGAGTTCATAAGTTCACACGTTCATCAAAGTGCATCATATTGCATATCATTCGACTCGGCTGATTACAAGGAACATAATAGGTGACACCATTATTGAAGCTCTAGCCTAATTGTGAGTCAATTTATGAGCGAAAAAAAAAAACGTAGCTTGACCCCATCTGACCTCATTTGCCCCAACTCTAGCGTGAAGCTCCAGCCTGGTTGTGAGTCAAGTTATTAGCAAAAAAAAAACGTAGTTTTACCCCATCCCCCATCTGACTTCAGCTGACCCGACTCTAGCGTGCCCGTAGCATAAGAACACGAGGTTAGTCACGCATTGCTATAAATCTATGAAGTAAAGCACCAATTAAAACGTTGATGAATTTATTTTACTAATCTATTTTAATTTAATCTATTTAAAAATGTTGCATTTATCTCATATTTTTTTGCGATTTGACCCATTCGGTTAAATTTTCTTAAAATTTGTCATGACCTCTAGATGTCCTCAGGTCAACCGAACTTGAAAAACCATGATGCATGTTATGGCGCTCGGTGAGCTCAGCATGTCCTGCAAGTTGGAATCAGATCGGTGCACTCTAGATTTCGTTAAAAAATAGTGTAATTTCAGTCCCAATTTGACAGTGTATCGGTTTTTGTGACCTGGTGACCTGACCTGAGGTCACTGTTACCTGAAATTGTCAGTGAAGATGCCAAAAGGTTGCCCTGGAGAGAGTAAGCCCTCTTGACACTATTAACGAGAAACCTTAGGGGAAGGGGGGTTGCATCAATCCCCCTGGCCTGGCGAGGGTTAAACCAAATCCAACAATTCCCACCTCTGCGGGGGTACCTACTAACGGGTGGTCAGAGGAAATTGGAAAAAGTTTGAATTCTTACTGTGCGAGAAGTTTTCAAGCGAAAGCAACAAAAATCGTTTGACCGTGCCTTTATTTTGTTGTGATCATGCTCGGCCTAGTGGATCTGCGACATTGGACGTTGAGAAATGTTACCTATGTTGCCTATGTTACCTACGTATGTACCTATGTTACTTGAGAAAAAAAAAATCCCGCTTTTGCTGTCCCACTAGCCCGCCCTACGTCACAGAGAAGGTATGACGTCATCAGGGGACCAACTGAACCTACCTCCCTGGTGTTGGAGCCCCCAGTATCTCCCGGCTACACCGAAACACACACTGTTGGTGTTTGTGACGTCACACATACACCCGGGCCCGGTGTAACGGCGTCTCCAGAGTCGTTGACGGATTACCGCCGACAACACACCGCGGCAGAGACGGATACCGTGATTAATAGCCGTGTATTTCACATTCGGTCGTGACTCGCCACCAAACAGAGTCACTGTGAGTCACGACTCAGCTGAACAACGGGATCACACACGTGACGTCACGATCACAAAGGCTCTCTCCGATGGCTGGACGGAAATCCAGGCCGTGGAATTGTCTCGATTAGTGAACAAGCTGGCCATATAACGCAGAACTATCAACGTAAGCTACAAGTGTGCTCTGGATAACCCAGACCGGGGACCTACAATAGCGACACAAATTACCGCGCTAGAACGTACAAAACCACAGACCTCTGTGTTGGAACGCGTCACATAGCCACCTTCTATGGTTATGCCCTTTCCGTGGGGTTTCCTGGTCTCGAATGCAGCGATAAAATGGCGGTGTTTCAGGTCGCTGAAGGCGGGACGACTCAAAGTGCGGCGTTGCCGACGGGAGACGGTGCTGCCATCTGCTGTCGGAATTGGACACTACCACCGGCACGGCAGCCGGCGCGAGGCGCGGCGCGGCCAGATGGGGTTTAGTCGAAGTACCGCACGTCGACGTTACTGCCGTCGGGCGGTTTGCTAAGCCGTCCAAGTACAGCCCCTGAAAGGAGAGCATGTCTGGTTTCACACAACGCCGGATAGTGACGTCATAGACAGTCAGTTCAGACTGATGACGTGACGTCACCTTGGGAGTCAGTCACTGCCAATGAGCCGTTAGTAACGTCATAAACAGCTAATGCATAATGGTGTGACGTCAATCACATAAACCATGGTACCATGCTGGCTGATTAGGTAAATGATAAACAAATCAGTACAAATACATTTAAAGTATATTGAACCGCTCGTCAGCGACGTCACAAAGAGCTAGCCCATGCTGCTGGTGTGACGTCACTTTTAGAGATGCACTGACAATATACCTACTGATATGTACCTCTAGTAAGTGACGTCATATCTCCCGACTGATGTCTGATAAGGCATCGTGCCATATGTGACATGTGTGACATCATACTAGCGCTGGTGACGTCTAGTAATAGTGACGTCTAATGCCAGTAATGTCTAGTGATAATGACGTATAGTGCTAGTGAAGTCCAGTGCTAGTGAAGTCCAGTGCTATAGTGAAGTCCAGTGCTAGTAACGTTTAGTGCTAGTAATATCTCGTGCTGGTGCGTGTCCGAGAGGCCGGTGGCGTCGTGTCGGTTGGTGTGGGTGGTCAGTGGCGCCGTTACTTACTGGGGACGTAGAGACTGATGTAACGGCACTGGCCTCTGTCAGTGCAGCCCAGGCCTGTCTTCAGCAGGGCGGCCAGGACGGCCTGGCAGTTTACTGCTGAGGAGGTTAGGTACAGATACTGCAGTTTCCTGCAGGCCTTTGCCATCCTGTAACAAAACAGAACAGAACAGGTCAGCTTGCGAGACACAGTGACACACAGTGGCACCACTACCAGCGGTCAGCTCCACACTTCATGGCACGTTGACACTGACAATAGCCAAACAAGACCAAAGGAATCATTTGTGGATCGACATCGCAAGACCAACACAGGGGAACGGAGATGTGAATGTCGCTAGATGAAATGTCCAGACTGGGGTAGTGCGACTCGCAAATAGTGATATGCCTGTCTGTCTCTCTGTATGTATGTATCTACTATGTATGTATGTATTTATGTCTGTCTGTCTGTCTGTTTGTATGCATGTCTGTCTGTATGACTTCGTTTACACAGATACCCGCCGGCGCCGGCCGTCCGACTGACCTGCAGACCGCTGCCACCTCTGACTCGGTCAGGGCAGGGATGTCCGTGAGGGGCCGCGGGTCTGCTGTGAGACGCAGGACCTCCAACCCAGAGCAGCCGTGGAGGGCGGCCAGCGTGGTTTCCAAAGTGGCGCCGACCACGCCAAGTTTGACGCACCACAAGCTGGTGATGGAAGCCAGAAGACGTGCCAGTGCTCCCGGTGTCACGGACGGCGACTCTGTTGAACACACAGACACACAGAAATAAGGACACGGTGGCTGCGGTCCAAATAACGCAACCCAAAAGGTGAAATCGCACCGGTATCAGAAGGTGAAACAAAGCACGCACGAAAATAAAAAAGGTAATAGTGACTTTGGTAAAATATAAAAAGTATGTGTTTAAAACACGTACAGACAATATAGATACATGTCATGTGTTAATGTATACGGTCATGTACGAGTATATCCTAGAGTGAAAAGAAAGTTACGAGCACACCACGCATACATAAAGCAAGTAACGGTGATTCTGGCGTATTTATGATGGTAGTGTTATCTTTCATTAAGTCTTGGCATACAGTGACTTAAGTATAGAAGTTCATTAAAGTGAAATTTACATAAGACATATTATAGCATACAAAATTGAGCACTATGCTGCCACATGGCACCAATGTCTTCAATGGACTGTGTCCGTGCTGCCGCTGCTCACCAAGTATGGTCAAACTGGATACTCGGTAATCGGGTTGTCGATTCGACAGAACACTCAGCTGGTCCAGGAGTTTGTCGGTTGCTAGCTGTACGCCGACACTCAGTTTACCAGGATCATAGCTCACTGGTGACCGAGTCATTCCCGACCCTGTGGAGAGAAACATGACCACAGAAGAGTCAGTATCCAACAGGAACAGAGTGAGAATCCAACGCAGCAGCAACCGGTATCCAATACCACGGAATATATAGTCTACGACATATAGTCTGTCGTAGACTATATATCCCTCGCCAGGCGAGGGCCGTTTCCATAACACGGACGGCGAGGGGGGTTGGTACAACCCCCCCCGTGGCGATTCGCTCCTATGGCATTTAGAAACACCAAATTTACAGGGTAGATGGGTCTATAGGAGGTCTCACCCCTGTGCAAATTTGGTTGCTCTAGGTCAATATTTAGGGGGGTTTGGGGGGTATAAGTGTAAATTTTTTGTTAAAACAGGCCAAAAAATTTTCGCTTATAACTTTTGATCTAATTAAGATAGAGCAAAAAGAAAAGCACCAGTGAACTCAGCACGTCAAGGCGCGTCGAACTATATACTTGTTTGCTTGCTTAAGTGTACTTAAAAAGTTTAGCACTTTTTATGCCAAATTTGGCAGCGCTACGCGCCGCCGTTTTTACGTTATTTGCGAAAAACCTTAGGGGGTTGCATCAACCCCCCCACGCCGGGCGAGGGATATTCCGTGCCAATACGGTAACAGAGCCCAACATATTTTCACATAATGACTGTTTGGCTTCATAAATAAGGTCAGTTATGTTTTGACTACACAAAACATATCTTTTGACTACAACAGAGGAGTACCTAGTCAGTATCACACCCAGCAGAGTCAGTATCCAACCCAACAGCAGAGTCAGTGCCATGGTCAAGACTGAAGAGTCATTACCCACCACAGTAGTCAGTACCCAGCCAGGGGTAGTCAGTGTCCAACAAAGGAGTAGTCAGTATCCGATACAGTAGCAGCCAGTATCCAACAAGTTCTTACGTAACTACTTCTTGGTAAAAAGGTCACTTGTCTTTTGACTAGGCAAAGCATACTACGCACACCATATGGAGCTTGAAGTTAATCATACTAGCAAACAGTAATTTGTTCTAGCAGTGCGGGCATTTAGAGCCTAGAGACCTGGAGACCTGGGACATCATTAGACCCATACGACCGAAGGAGACGGCAAATGAATAATCACTACATAAAGTCAGGAAGACTGCAAACGGCTTGGTGCAGCGGCCCGCAGTCGCGGCTTTGTTCCAGTACAATGTAATCTGTACCGCACGGCACTCTTACCAGTGATGTCCAGTCTTTTCAGCGACTTGGGTAGCAGCCACAGCCACTTGCCGGTGCTGTTCACGGGTAGGCTAAGATTTAATCTCTCCAGAGCCTTCAGTGGCTCCAGCAGCGCCTCCAGCTGGCAGTCACCGATGCCGGCTGGAAGTGTCAGCTCACGCAGACTGGAGGCGTTGGCACGCGCCAGATGGCGCAGGGCAGAGGTTCTCAGTTTGAAGCCGCGCAGGTCGGCTGTCTGGAGGGCGTGACAACTGCCCACTGGAATACAGTACCACCGTCAGTGAGCTAGCGATCAAACGGACAGGTCATAGGATACATGGAATACAACAACACTGTGTGTAAAGTAATAATCACATGGACATTGGACAGGTCACGTGATAATTAGTCATCAGATGATGTAAAGTGTGTTCCATAATCCATTACAGGACTTACCGACCAGTCGGATGTCGGTGCCCTTTTCAGCGGTCGGCGCCTTCAGTGATGTCATTTTCGGCTGGTCTTTTGCCCGTATCACGAGCTCCAGATTCGTCAGTGTTAAAGTGTTAAACCCCCGAGCTGACCGGTCGGCGAGCTTCCGCCGACAGTCGTCGAGGATGCCGTCGACGGCGGACCGCCAGCTCCGACAGACTGTCGACACCGACGGAAAATAAATGAGAAAATGGGCATGTGTCACCGTCCAGCATCAGCGTCGGTGGTCACTTTAAAGTTGTTTTGTTGGGTTAGGCCCTTTCGGTCTGACAAGACCATTGCAGAGCCGGATGGATGATAGGAATTAGGGGAAGATATTGGTCTGGGCAGACACCCTCGAGAGTCGCTGGGGCTGAGCCAGTCCGAATGGACGGGCCACCCATACCCCAAGTTACTCACTGCACCCGGCTACGGGTGTGCTCCCCATGGGAGCAACGGTGCCGCGTCAAGGGAGCAGCCCGCTTGGGAGTTGTCTGTCCACCCCGGAGCGAGGGTTGCGGCGTGGGAGAAAATAATTTTAACATCCTGACCCTGAGTATGGAAACGACGGACGGGTGAGGGCAGCGTACATGCATATTTCATCTCTAGACCAGAATATATCGGCTGATGGGACTGCTGAAACCATTGGATCTACGAGTACTGAGTACTGGGTATAAATCCCACGTAACTACATTTCCATAGGCTGAGGAAGAAGAGTCACGTCTGCTCGAATCGCCTTGTGAAACACAAGATCGGTATTTAGAGGCTTACCTCGTCTGGCGCGGAACATCTCCAAGCAGTCCATCTTTCTCAGCACCATCTTTAGGAGTTCAGTGTCCAGGACATTAATGTTTGTCTCACTGGGATCGGTTTTATTCAGGTCCCCGCCCGCCGGCGCCGCCTGGGTCGTGACGTCATCAGACTTGATGACGTCACTCTTGCTGTGAGCGTCGTCCGGCGGAGTGGTCACGTCCTCACCGTCACTGGAGGAAGAGAGAGTAGTAAAGTAATCTTGGAAGAGATGACGTCAACGTGACGTCAGATGACGACTTCTGATTGATCAGCTATCTCTACACACATCCAGCGTCAGATCCTTCCATCAGTCAGACCCCAAGACCACCACTGAGGCGAAGCACTTCACTTGCAGTAGTGACTGTTGCGACTAGCCGACAATTTATCCGTGTTTTTATTTAGTGGTCCGTCATCTCAAGCCGGAGGTATTTCATCTGGAAAGCCGCGAGAAAATATGTGTTCAGCGATATTTAGTTGCAGTGAGAACGAGCGAATGTAAATCATGTAAAGGAAGAACGGCACTGATTTACCTGTTTGCATATACGTGAAATGCCATAGAATGAGTTAAGTGGTAAATGTGGCTTAAGTTTGCTCGGAACAGTTTAAAACTGTTCCGACATTCGGGAAAAAATGTGGGTTAAAATGACGGTTTCTATTAACTCCATTCAACACCAAAGCATCAGAGCCGGTTCAACATGAGGAGGTGAAGGCTCCACGTGAAGTCTTCTTTGCGGCGCACCACAGCGATGGACCATTGCTAGACCCAGCTCGACACTCATCGTGGGTGAAGTACAAGCGTACCGTGGCATGGGTTCTTCGCTTCACCAAGAACGCCAAACAAAGTAAGGGAAGCGGCATGCGAGTCAGTGGGCCTTTAACTGCCGAAGAACTCAAATCCGCCGAGATGTTTGTTCTGAAAGAAGCTCAGAAGTCCGCATATCCCGCCGAACTGCAAGCTGCTGCTAGCAAATCTAGACTGCCGACAGAAAGCATCTTACATCAGCTCTCCCCGTACGTAGACGAACAAGGCCTGCTGAGAGCCCGAGGGCGTCTTCGTAACGCGCCGGTGCCAGAAACCTGTCGCCATCCAGTCCTGCTTGGTAAGGACGAAGACATCATCCGACTAATTGTGACTGATGTACACCAGCGCGTCATGCACTCTGGTCTGGAACACACACTCAGTGAGTTGAGACTCCAATACTGGATACCGAAGGCGAGATCAACTGTGCGGAAGATGCTACACCGATGCGCATTCTGCAGAAACAGAAGAGCGCAGCCTCAGACGCCAATGATGGCAGACCTGCCGGCGAGTCGATTCGACATGACGAAGCCGTTTGCATGCGTCGGACTCGACTTCTGTGGGCCGCTGACGGTTCGCAAGTTTCGCAAGACTGAGAAACGATACATCCTGCTGATCACGTGCCTCGCGACTCGGGCCTTGCATCTGGAACTCGTCAGCTCCATGGACACAGACGGCTTTCTCATGGCGTTTAGGCGCTTCGTCGCCCGCCGCGGACGGCCACGTGTCGTCTGGTCTGATAACGGGTCCAACCTAGTGGCAGGAGAGAAGGAGCTCAAGGTCTGTTTGGATGAATGGAACCAGGAGAAGATCGTCGATGAACTCAGCCAAAGACAGATTGACTGGCGGTTCAACCCACCTAACGCAAGCCACAAGGGAGGAGTGTGGGAGCGACTAGTATCCTCGGTCAAGCGTGCTCTGCGGGTCGTGCTCGGAAACCAGTGCGTCTCAGAAGAAGTGTTGTGTACTGTACTGACGGAGATTGAGTTTGTACTCAATAGCCGTCCGCTGACCTATGTCAGCACGGACATTGGTGACCCGGAGCCCCTCACTCCGAACCACTTCGTCTTGGGCTACCCGGAGGCCGCCTTCCCGCCTGGCATCTTCGCTGAAAGTGATGTCCTCGGCCGTGGAAAGTGGCGGCAGTCCCAAGCACTCGCCAATCAGCTATGGCGAAGGTGGCAGAAAGAATACCTACCACTGCTGATTCAACGGAAGAAGTGGGTGCGTGAAACCCGAGATCTACAAGTTGGTGATGTCGTCCTCATGGTGGATCAAGAGTCGCCCAGAGGTTACTGGCCGCTGGCGAGGATCACAGAAGTAACCACAAGCGATGATGGTCGAGTGCGCTCAGTGTCGCTGCAGACGGCAAGAGGATCCGTCTACCGTCGTCCGGCAAACAAAGTTTGCTTCTTGGAAAGTTGTGAGAGATCCCAGTGAAGCGGGAGTGGAGCTGAGCTGAAAGCTTGAGCGCTCGGGCAGTAAGTTGGAGGATGTGCATGCTGCAAATCAATGGACTAAAGGGCAGTGTTCGTGTCATGTCATATAGGCCAGTAGTCGCACGTATTATTGGTGTTCTACCCAGTAGAACACTGGGGGGAGTGTTGCGACTAGCCGACAATTTATCCGTGTTTTTATTTAGTGGTCCGTCATCTCAAGCCGGAGGTATTTCATCTGGAAAGCCGCGAGAAAATATGTGTTCAGCGATATTTAGTTGCAGTGAGAACGAGCGAATGTAAATCATGTAAAGGAAGAACGGCACTGATTTACCTGTTTGCATATACGTGAAATGCCATAGAATGAGTTAAGTGGTAAATGTGGCTTAAGTTTGCTCGGAACAGTTTAAAACCTATTCAATCATGTAAACTAAAGCTGCAATGATCATGTAGTCGCTGTTGAACCGGCTCTGATGCTTTGGTGTTGAATGGAGTTAATAGAAACCGTCATTTTAACCCACATTTTTTCCCGAATGTCGGAACAGTGACCCCTTCCTCCTCGTATGATTTTTACTTCCTCCCACACCCGTGCTATTTCTTACCCCTCCTGACGGGTGCATGTCTGCTCTTGCTGAAGGTTGTTTGTCTCTTGTTGGAGGTTGCTTGTCTCCTCTTGCTGAAGGCTTCTTGTCTCTTTTTGCTGAAGGTTGCTTGTCTCTTCTTGCTGGTGACCGTTTGCATCCTGTTCTTGAATGTTGCAGGTAGCCTTTATCAGAGGGTCGCATTTCTCCTCGGGTGGGCAGACCTTCTGCTCCAGCCTACCGATGGCCTTCCAGATGTCTTCCTCTATGGTTTGTCGGGCAGAGCGCTCTTCAATCAGCGCCTGCTCCAGTCGGTACACCTTCCCTTGAAGTTGTTGTATCTCCATCTCTGAAACAGGTGGACAATGATCTGATGATCTCCTTATTTATTGACCAAAAGGGACTGGACTAGCTTACTAACTTGCATAACTATAAACGTTGGGATCAGCAGAGCCTGAGGAATGCAAATGTTAGCAATAACAAAAGCAAGCATTCTATTCAATTTTCAAAACCATGATAACAGTATTTTGACCAGCTCCTTGGAGGCAGCCTGTGCCGCAATGCTACTGCCGGCGGCTGTGAACCCAGCCAGCTCGACACCACCGCGCTTATCAACTCGGCCCTCCCAGCATTAGACGCCCTGAGAGCGCACCTGCTAAGCTACTCCGCTAGCTACTAGCCCCGGCCAAATTACCCCGCAGTGCCATATTTTGAAAATTGTGTCTATAATGTCGTTACGGCAATACGGAACTAGATGAGATTGCTCTTGAAAACGCTGAACACCCCCAAAAATGGCGCCACGATGTTGGAATTTGTTTACAGCCCAAATTCTACTTGCTGTACAATTTTTCAAACGGAAGTAAAAATTAATTGTAAAAATACAAGCCTATCACAGAGGTCCCTTTTTCACTTTCTGATCAAGATGCATGCAATATATGCAGCCGTATCATATGTGTAGGAGATTTGTGAAGTACATATGACAGCATAATAATAAATAAATTACTTAGCTTTGAAGGTATTGACACCTGTATGTCCATCCTTGCGTGACAGGTTATACTTATGGTGAAAATTGCGCTCTGATGCTAGAGCGTCACCGATGCCACACGCGGGCGCCATGTCGTGCGGCGCTATCAGACATAGCCCTGATCACTCAGTCGTAGTCCGGTTATCGGACCACCGCAGATAGCCGCCCTGTCAGCCGCTATCAGGCGGTCTGCGGCCGAATCCGCGGCCAGGGGTTGACGAAGCACGCTCTCAGGGCGGGCTCACCATTCTCTGAAAGCTGCGTAGGGACATCAGGGATCGACGCGGGCCCTCAGAGATCGATATGAGACTTTAGTGGCGGGTAGGGCTCTCAGAAACCTCAGGTGTGCGATTCCCAGTGACCACTGACCGGCTAAGGTCCGCAGGAGCCGCCGAGGGCTTGTAGAAACCAACGACAGATGAAGGGATCCGAATTTTGTTGAGATGCTCAGTCAACAGCCATTAGGTCGCAAAGGTTGGAGATAACAGCAGAAGATGACAGAATCCTTAACCGTCCAGGCGGTGGGGGTCGTTGTTTGCCCCCCCCTCCTTGAGTTTTTTTCGATAAATCTCCAGAACCGCTGCGCCGATCGTCACCAAACTGTCAGTACCCTCCCGTGAATAGCTTTTACACATTGTGACTAAAATTGTGTTCCAAAGGCTATGATAGGTTGGCCGCTAATGACGTCGGAGTGACGTCATTTCTGCCATGTACAACCCAAAAACAGGTTTCCCGGGAAGAGCTGTCAGGCCTATAGCCTTGATGACACAGAAAAATGTTTCACACACAAAATGTGTAGAATTACCAGCGCTACTAAAGTGCTATCTTGAAATTTCGAACAATTTGGAATTTGACCCCCAAAAACAAAACAAAAAATGATATAATAGCCAAAAAATCCCAAAAGCTTTTCGATTTTCGAAAAACCGGAATATATGTAACGGCCTGTGTCGGCTTCTATTCACATTCCAAATTTGAGATCGATACGTCTTTTTTGGCAAAGTTATAGAAAACAACTGTTCAAAATTAATGACGTCAAATTTTCAAACTCAATTCTTAGGAATTCTAGACCACGTAGCGCAAAACAAAGGCCACCATTAGACTCGCCGTGACAAGCTGCATCGAATCAATACCCATTTTATGCAAAACTAATAACTTTGAAATTTGGCCTATTTCGACCTGACATTTGTATTTGTATTTGTATTTGTATTTGTATATTTAAAATCGCCAACAGACAATAAGTCCACTTAAAAGGCGAAGTCAAAGGGACAGTAAAACAGCACCCACCCACACACACAACACACACACACACCAGGCGCGGATACAAGGGGGGGCCATGGGGGCCATGGCCCCCCTTGGCCGATTTTTTTTTTTCAAAAATAAAATAAAAAGTTAAAAAGTTAAAAAGCTGAAAAGGGGGCCTCCTGAAAATAAAGTGGCCGAAATCCGATGAGTTTTTTTTTAACCTACCCACTTAGTTATTTCTTAGAAGACTAGCTGAGAAGACTTCTTTGTTAGAAGATTGGTAAAGCTTTTCATAACTTGGAGGTCTCTTATACTCACAGAGATGACCACTTTTACAGGGCCTCCTAAGTCCTAACCTGCACAGAGGGCCTCCAAGCCTGCACAGATGTTGAGATGTTTTTTTTATAAATTTAGCTCGAATGTTTGAATGGACGGATTGACAGAGCCGAAGCCCACGCTAAGCAGAGCTTGTTGCGTGGACCCCGACCCCTACCGTCCGATCGCGCAATTCCGGGTAACGGGAGAATTTAGATGCCAAAGTTTAACGTGCCCTTCAAAGCCGGACACGGCCTGTCCCACTCAACTGACTTCAACTGGCTGCGGCTGCTCCCACCAACCGCAGACCATCCCCGTCAGGAGTCTCAAATATCGAGCGCCGGAGCGTCTCGAACCCGGGCTCTCACTACCGGGAGTCCAATGCTCTACCAACTGAGCTACGGGACATGTTGCCTGAACAGCTAGATAAGCTCAATAGACGCAGTTTTTTTTTGGGGGGGCCAACAAGTGGGAAGATGGGGCCTCCAACAGGTGGGATTATGGGGGGGGGGGCTCCTGGTTTCTAATGGCCCCTCCCTTGGAGATTTTCTGGATCCGCCCCTGACACACACCTACACACACACACACACACACACACACTGAAGATAAAAACACGTAGAGTTATAAACACAGGAGATGTAAATAAATAAGTAAATAATAGCCTAAAAAGCCTAGTGAACAAGAAACACTAAAAGCACAGCGGATGCGATCACGCCGCTTCCAGCCCTTTCACATAGTTTAAAACGTGTCCTCTAAAAGTGTAAAAACTATCGCTAAAAACATCAGCGGGACTTCTAGTTAAAAACACGTTCATGGCCTTCGGTAGTCGGCGCAGAAAACCATCCCCGACGGTCCGTACGCGCCAGGGAAGCTCGGCGAAGAGCCGCTGTGAGCGGGTTGATCGCGGCGGCACATGGAGCGGAAATCTACCAAGGAGGTTAGAAGAACGGATTTTACCGGCCAGGATATTCCTCAGGAAGAGCAGGTCGTGTTGGTTTCTACGGACAGACAGTGATGTAATACCAAAATGATGCAGAAGAGAAGGATAGGACAGAGAGGAACATGGCGAGGATGTGTGGCTATTCAACCACAACAAGAACTTGTGCTGCACACGATCAACCCGCTCTGTGTGGGATTTGGCCGCTCCCTTTGACCTTGACCTTTGCCTTGACCTTAACCTTGACCTTTCCTTTGACAGTGACCTAACCTCCACCAGAAAGTGACCTAAACCGTACCTGATGGTCTTATAACCAGCACCATTGAGCTGGAAATGAAAAATTGGCCATAAAACATGCATCGCAAAACCCTAGTAAAGTTGGGTTCATGTGCTAAGATCCGTAAACGGTGAAACATTTTATCTTTGATCTGACCTGTGACGTCATCTGTGACCCCGAAGTCAATGAAATAGGTTTCGCTCGACAGTTTTTCCAGGGCTATCAGATGCTTTTTGAATTTTGACGATCGGCCCAGTAGTTTCGGAGATAGGAGGGGAGGCCCTGGACAGCCCCCCCCCCCCCTCAGTCACTCGCGTTATGGAAAATACCCCAGTCATGCGCCGGTTAATTGTGGGCTGGCGCTGGCTCAGCGGCGGACTTATCCTGGATCCCACCCTCCTTCCAGCATGAGCGTTGGCTGGATGGCCCGCCTCACGTCCCTGTAATCCTCACTCCCTACTCCATAGTTATTCCCCCATCCTCAGACCCGGGTTGAATAATAGGATTGAATGGGATTGAATGGGCGCTCACTTCGACAATTGTTGATGTCACTAGCTTGGTAATTGGTATACGGCGTATGCTTACCAATGCGGAGGAGAGAGGACAGTTTCCTTTGTTTAGCTTTGAAGCGAGCAAAGTGGGTTGGACGCAAGTCGCTCATGTGTAGAATCACTTTTAATAAATTTCGGCGCTTAAAATACAGTCCACTACTAGTTTAGCCAGACTAAAACGCAACAAATGACCCCCCCCCCCCCACAGCGCGGAAGGTGGCCGGGAGGCCCACCGCCTGCCGGGTTAAGGCCTGACTACACTATGCGTTTTCTGCGGGCGCTTTTTTTTGCGGGTTTGCGGGTTTTGTGTCATATCGTTCTAGAAAAATAAACGATTTTACGCTTTTGTGATGGTTTTTCGCCGGCACAGGGGGGGGGGGCGGGTTGATGCAACTATAAAAAAGACTCGCTAATGCCTTCCCATGTTAAGAAGAGCATTTTTGACGGACTCGTACGAGTTTTTGAATGCGAGTTAGATGTCATAAAGGGTCTCAAATGAAAGATTGGACCGTCTTCTTATTAGGATCCAGGGTTTTTAGTGGCTGACGTGCCCTTGACAGCTTTCAGGACCCCTCCTAAGAGGACACTGCAGTGTCCGCTTGTAATGTTATGGCAATGGGGAAAATGATATTTTAGATGGGTCTGGGGATTTTCGCATGGAAGTGAGAAGAACGAACAAACAATTGATATCGTGAACTGAGGTGACCTCTGTGACCTGACATGACCAATCGTGACCTAAGGCGACCTCTGTGACCTTGCACGACCCATCGTGACCTGACCCGACCTATCGTAACTTAAGGGTTGGTCATGACAGTGACCTGTCATGACCAATGATGACCTGAAGTGACCTGACCTGACCTACCGTGACCTGAGGAGGTCCTAGTGACCTGCCCTGACCCTTTGTGACCTAACATGACCCAGCGTGACCTAATTTGACCTTTTCAGCTTCTAGACGTCCAATCGACTCGAGAAAAACACCAATCGTTTTAAATTTTATATAGGTTTTCCGCGAAAGCCTCACGTAAAAAGCGACCGATCGCAACGAAGCTTTCAGTACCCTCGAGTTAATCAATTTTACACCTACTCTAGAAATTCCATAACCCTGACCCAAATGACCTTTGACCTGTGACCTCTTTTCCGAGACCATGTTTGGCCGGAATCGCGATTCGGCGCATGTCGGCTCGCATCAGCCGCGCGTTTGCAAGCTTTTCGTGGTTTCAAACGTTCAGACATGTGATTTGATGTTGCTCTCATACATTAGGAAGGGTGTCAAGGTCACCTGAAGGTCAGGTCAGGTCATTGACCTTTGGTGACCTCGGTTCACTTTTTCGAGTTTTACACGTTTCTAGGCTAGTTTTTGGAGCTGCATTCGAATTTAGCAATCATTTGAACATTTACCAAGTAGTTTTGGCGCCTTCGTAACATGTTACGAAGCTGTCAGAGGCGGTTGACACGTATTACGAATACCCGTCACGACCCCTACCAGTTGACCTGAACTGACCTGACCCGACCTGGTCTAAATGCTTAAAGGCATCATCTCTGATCAAAACTAACACGATATTCGTGATCAGCACCCCGGAAAACCCGTCAGCCACACTTACGACTTTCTAACAGGTCCCGATTTTCCCGATTTTCGGGTCATTGACCTGACCTGGAAGGTCACCCGATGACCTAGGACCTTAAAATTAATTGGGTATCATCGGCTTCCTCTCGTGACGGGCAACACGCTCGTTTTTTCCGGCAACCTTTAGCTCGATCAGGGGCCAAACGCGAGGGGGTCTTACCAATCCCCCCCCCTGTGCCGTCGAAGGACGCAAAATGGCCTGTGTCGGAGAGGATTAAATTTTACTTAACCCGCGCACCGACAGGTGCGCGGGTTGGCGCGGTCTGCGCCAACTTAAAACCGACGGGGGGCGGTTGACCGCCCCCCCCCCTGAGATCTCGAGAACGAAGCAAGATAGCGACAGGCGGTAAACGGCGTGGAGTACGCACGGACAAGATCTACAATTTTTACTAAGGTCATTTTCAGGTCAGGTCAAAGATAACGTCACAGGGGTAAAAAAAATCCAAAATGGCGGCACTAGAAATGAAGAGTTTTTTTTTTTCTCGAATAACTTTCAAAGTAGCCAAGCTAGGAACAAATTATTGGCACCATCGTGATCCTCTCGTCAATCCGAATCGAATCATATGTGTATTGACCTCGAAAGGAAAAGGTCAAAGTTTGACCTCAGGTCACGTAACCTCAATATCAACATGTATATTATTCGATGCGTCTTGACGAGCTGAACACAACGAGACCATCCGCGTGGCTGTATCTCGTTCCTGTAAGGAATTATTAGCAAAAAACCTTTGGTGACCATTGATGACGTCACATGACCTTACAGTTGCCCAAGAGCAAAAAAGACCTGAAGGTAGTCAAGGTATATCGTGTATGAAGTCATTCATGGTATAATTGGGCCATTCCGACGCTTTTTAGAGGAAAAACAGGGGATTGATTTTCCCCCATTGACTTATGATGGGGAGGCCATGAAATTGACCTGACCTTAGGCCATCGATATCAAAATTCCGAGATAAACAAATTGTAGCTATCAATGAGCTCATTACATTCTGCGACTTTCAATGGCCACCGTCATCTACTGTAGCTCTAGCACGGTGACAAAGTTGCAAACAAGTGACTTGAGGTTGGGTCATTCAAAGTGACCTGGTGACCTGACCTTGAAAGGTAGGAGGTTGAAATTTGCACACCATGTGTAAAATTGATAAGGGGAAAAGTCATGCCAAATTTCGAACGAAAAACCTCAGGGGGCGGTCAATCGCCCCCCTCCCCCGTTGGTGCGCGGGTCAAAACCGTGGCTACACCCCTGCAGTATGGTAATGTCAAATATCGATATAAAAGTGACGTCACAACTCTCTGACGAGTATAAAGGTGTGCCTAAACCCTTAATCCGACCCCGTTACCGTATCGACTGCTGCTGGCGGAGTCTTCACTCCACACCCCAGCCCTCTGCCCTGCACTGCAACACTGAGATCACTGAGATAGGGCCTTCCACTGAGCGCTGCATGAAGGTCAGAGTTGAGACATGGGACGTGTCTCACGGGCGCACAGTGGACCCGGTACACTGTGCAGCGGGAAATAATTTAACGATTTGATGTGGTATATTGAGACGAAAGGGTAAAGTACCTATGTGCTGCACTATAGTCTGGCAAACTTAAGAAAGAATGGATTTAAAGTGCTGCGGCCGTTGATGCATGTGCATTTATATTGTGAGAGCATAGTTTCTGTCACAACTTTTCACACAAAGTTCTCCGAACCATATATTTTAAGTGATCAAAACATGTGCAAAGTGATTCAGGCGCTTTAGCTCCGATCTTTCTTAGGTTTGCCAGACTACAGGTAAATGACATTCTGTCTTCACTGTTGTTAGCGTTTCAAAGGCCACAAAGCAATACTAAGCGTGGTGTGCACCGGATCCGTAATGACGCCGTAACCGTTACGGACGTAATGTGAGCTAGATATTTCTCAAGATTCCCCAAGCATTGTGACTTTTGTAGACGAAATCGAAATGTGGCAACCAGTCGCCGTAAACTGGCAGCACTTCCACCGTACTCGTTACGGGAGCGTAACAGAAGTTGGGAAAATTGAACTTCTCGGCCCGACCGGCCGCCGTAATGACTTAAGTTGACATGTATCTCCAAAACAGTTTACTATTTAATGAGCGGTCTTCTTTGGAAAGGGGCTGCATCCTTTCTACCCTGAATTGTGCTATTGATAACACTCATGAGTGCCTGTTACAGCACGTGCGACGTGCGACGCGAGAGGTTCCAAAAGAGCTCGTCATACCATAACTCGGGAACGGCTGAATCGATACGGTTCAATATTTGTTGTTTTGGCTGGGTGCACACAGCACATCCCGTGACCTTAGGACAATTTTGAATTGTCTCAGCGCGTGCGCACGTGGACACCCCTTTTTCACATCTCGGGATTGGCTGTGCCAATCGCGCCCATATTGGGTATGGTGAATGACATCGTGTTTATATGCAAATTGCACAGGTTGGCAAAAGCATTTATCTGCACGTGCGCACGTGCGTGCCCCTTTTTCATATCGGGGATCGGCTGGGCCGATCGCGCTCATATTTGGTATGCTGAATGACGCCATGTACATATGAAGATTGAACACGTCGGCAAAGGCATTGGTCTGCACGTGCGCACGTGCGTATTCCTTTTTGGCATCTTGGGATCGGCTGGGCCGATAGCGCTCATATTAAGTATGCTGAGTGACACCAAGTTTACATGCAGATTGCACAGGTCAGCAAAAGCATTGATCTGCACGTGCGCACGTGCACACCCCTTTTCATATCTGGGGATCGGCTGGGCCGAAAGTGCTTACATCAAGTAAGCTGAATGATACCATGCTTATATGTAGAATTCACAAGTCGACAAAGGTATTGATCTGCACGTGCGCACGTGCACACCCCTTTTCATATCTGGGGATCGGCTGGGCCGAAAGTGCTTATATCAAGCATGCTGAATGATACCATGCTTATATGTAGAATTCACAAGTCGACAAAGGTAGGTATTGATCTGCACGTGCGCACTCCTTTTTCATATCTCGGGATCGGCTGGGCCGATAGCGCTCACATTAAAGATTAAAGAAAGATAGCATTTCCTTCATAGGCCTAATCATGTACCTAGGTATATTACAGGTCAAGTTCGAAGTCCACAAAATTAATTCCAATGCATAGATTCTCGTGCCGAAAGAAATATCAGATATTGCACACGTCTTTTATACCCCGCGCCGGGCCGGCGGGAGGGTGTTTGAACACCCCCCCCCCCCCCTGCGATTTTTCGCAGATATCTCAAAAACGGCCGCGCAGAGCGCCGCCGTTTTTGGCACACCCGTTTGTGCATTTTTGTCGCACATGTTGTGAAAATTTCAGACCCAGGTCGCCTTAGGTCAGGTCACCAGGTCACGCCAAGTGACCTCACCTCAGAAAAAAATAAGAATGCATAGCTACACCGATTGATCGATTTCCTTGAAACTTTCAGCGATTTATTATAGCAACATTATCTATAAAATATATATCTCGGAATTTTGATATCGGTGACCTAAGGTCAGGTCAATTTTGCGGCCTCTCCATTATAAGGGGCGTTCCACGACAAATCGACGAATAAAAAATTAAATTTGCACCCTCATATTTTATTTTTCGTTGAAAACTGGTGTAAGGGGTTATGATGGGCGGGGAAGCCAGCTGTGGCAAGGATTTTTTTCTTCGAACAACAGTTTCCGAGATATAGCCTCGGGCAATTCCAGCCGGTCGCGCTGCAGCCCTATGTTTGGCGGCCTATAACTCAGAAACTATTGGTTTTCTACGATAAAAACTTATATGGTTCAACTCCCAATTAGCCAACAAACATTTTGGCTATCTCGGATTTTCAATTTTTGAAAATTTTGATCACGTGACCTTTTGACCTATTTTTCGAAGAGTGACCTTGATATTTTCCCCACTGAAAGTTGCAATTTTGTCTGATGACGATTAACGCCTTATCAATTGTCATGCATATGCGAAAATAAAAAAGTGGATATCGCCCTGCGTTGACCTCAGGTCAGGTCATTTTTATGACCTGTCCATTATTACGAGCGGGAGCGACAGCGAGATCTCGAGAATAAAGCAAGATAGTGACAAGCGGTAAACGGTGCAGGGTACAAATGGATAAGGTCTATAATTTTTACTGAGGTCATTTTCAGGTCAGGTCAAAGATGACGTCACCGGAGCAAGAAGGAAGTCAAAATTGCGGCACTACATATATATGAAGTTTTTCTAGAATAGCTTTCAAGGTATTCCAGCTAGGAATAAACTAATAGCACCATCGTGATCCTCTCGTCGATCTGCATCGAAACATGTGTATGTTGACCTCGAAAGGTCGAAAGGTCAAAAGTTGACCTTAGGTCACGTGACCTACCGCTTGTCGCTATCTTGCTTTATTCTCGAGATCTCGCTGTCGCTCCCGCTCGTAATAATGGACAGGTCATAAAAATGACCTGACCTGAGGTCAACGCAGGGCGATATCCACTTTTTTATTTTCGCATATGAATGACAATTGATAAGGCTTTAATCGTCATCAGACAAATTGCAACTTTCAGTGGGGAAAATATCAAGGTCACTCTTCGAAAAATAGGTCAAAAGGTCACGTGATCAAAATTTTCAAAAATTGAAAATCCGAGATAGCCAAAATGTTTGTTGATTGATTGTGAGTTGAACCATATAAAGTTTTTATTGTAGAAAACCAATAGTTTTTGAGTTATAGGCCGCCAAACATAGGGCTGCAGCGCGACATCCAGGAATTGCCCGAGGCTATATCTCGGAAACCGTTGTTCGAAGAAAAAAATCCTTGCCACAGCTTGCTTCCCCGCCCATCACAACCCATTAGACCAATTTTAAGCAAAAAATAAAATATGAGGGTGCAGGGCACTTGTCGATTTGTCGTGGAACCCATAAGTCAATGGGAGAAAATTGAAAAGCGTCTGTTTTGCACGAACGCTATTCTAGACACTCTCAAACATCGAGATGTAGGTAAAATTGACACACTGAACCGGAAAATCGCAACTGTGACCCCTCGCTATGTCCCCGAGGTCATCTCAGGTCACGAACAGAATAACAGTTTTTCGCTCATAACTTCTGATAGAGGCATGCTAGAACGCTGAGAACGCCTTAGATGTGTTCGGCTCGACGTTGCGGATCGACTGATATGCAGCATGACCTTTTCCGGTCAGGTCATGACCTTGACCTGAGGTCATATTTTAAAGTTGACCTTTCAAGGTCAAATTATATTTCATTCGACGCGTCTCGACGAGAGGAACACGAGCTGGCAAAAGTAATGTCATGGCTCTTTTGAGTCAAAAGTTATTGCCGAAAAAACACTTTTCGTAGAAACGGCTATTTTTGGAGTTTTTGCCCTCTGGAGGCTAAACCGTTGACCTGAGGTCAAATCTGAGGGCATTATTCAGAAAGGTCTGTAAAAGGGCTGTCGAATGCGTTTTTCCGCGGCGCTGTAGCTCTATCGGTTCCCGAGATAGCCGTCGGCAGTTTCCAAAATGTTGAAATAGTCAACATTTTACCTTTGGTGACCTCTGGTGACCTGATCTTTGACCTGACCCAAAAAATGACCGAAGTGTTTTCGTCCTTATTTTGGACGTTATTTCGATGGCCGCTTACCGCGTGTCGCTACGTAGCCTAGGAGCCGAGTTAGAAAGGGGGCGGTGTTCAGACACCCCCCCCCCCCCCGGCCCGGCGCGGGATACAGTTCTGAGTCAACTTCGCTGCCCATATTGCCCTGCTAGACTTGATGCTTGGACGGACATCGCATGGACGCTTCGCAAGCCAATTGAGCAAACTGTACGATGCGTACGGCCCTCCAGGCATTAAGTGGTTGGTTGCCAACATCACAATAATCGATCTGCACTGATGAATACGTCTAATGGCTGTTGAAAACCATTGCCGAAATGTGTGCACGAATACTCCACTCACTTCTAATGAGTCATTATACATGAGTGTTTCTGTCACTTAAAGTTATTACACCAAAAGCACATAGGCTAACCAACCACTCTTTTGCTGGAGGGCCGTAGGTCATGAGTGTAGAAAATGAACTTCAGCGTTGACCAGCATAGGCATGTTTTCTTGCTTATGCCAAAAAAAGGTAAAAGATTCTCTGTATAGTGTCATGCCCACAGTTGTAGTTAATTAACCCGCGCCCTGGTGGGGGGGGCTATTTTTTGCCCCCTCCCCCTGCAGACTTTTCGATATATCTCCAGAACCGCTGCGCCGATCGTCACCAAACTTTCAGTACCCTCCCGTACATCAATTTTACACATTGTGACCAAAATTTTTCCAAAGGCTATGATATGTTGGCCGGAAATGACGTCAGAGTGACGTCATGTTCTGCCGTTTTCGACCCAAAAAAGGGTTTCGCGGGAAGAGCTGTCAGGCCTATAACTTTGCAAATACAGAAAAACAATAAGACATAAAAGCTGTAGAATTGACAGGGCTACAAAACTGCTATCTCGGATTTTTAAAAATTTTGGATTTTGACCCCAAAAAAATCAAAAAATAGATTTTTTTAAATATAATAGACGAAAAATCCAAAAAGTTTTTTGAATTTCGCAAAAACCGGAACAAATGTGATAGTCCTTACCGTCATCTATCCACATACTAAATTTAAGATTGATACCTCTTTTTTTTGCCAGGTTATAGCGAAAAAAACTGTTCAAAATTGATGACGTCAAATATTCAAACTCAATTTTTAGCAATTCTAAACTCCGTAGCGCAAAACAAAGGCCACCATTAGACTCCCCGTGACGAGCTGCATCGAATCAATACCCATTTTATGCAAAACTATCAACTTTAAAATTTGACCTTTTTTGACCTGACCTTGACCTGACCTTCACCAGAAAGTGACCTAAGCCGTACCTGATAGTCTTATAACCAACACCATTGAGTTGGAAATGAAAAATTGGCCATAAAACATGCATCGCACAACCTTAGTACCTAAAGTTAGGTTCATGTGACCTGACCTGTGACCCTTGGTGACCTGACCTGTGACCTGACCTGGTAATGTCAGTGACCTCTTATAGCAACATATGTGCTAGACAACTGACGCCTTACCGCTGATTTTCGACAAAATGCGTTTTACTCGGTGATAACGCTTTTCCTAGAAGCCCCGTGAACGGTGAAACATTTTATCTTTGACCTGACCTGTGACGTCATCGGTGACCCTGAGGTCAATGAAATTTGGTTTGTCAGAGCAAATTTTACAGGGCTATCGAACGCCGTTTGAATTTTCCGGATCCGTCCAGTAGTTTCGGAGATACGGGGGGAAAAAATGCCCCCCCCCCCCACCGCGCGGAAGGTGGCTGGTAGGCCCACCGCTTGCCGGGTTAATGTGAAATTCTGGGTACCTGTCCAGAAATGAATTGCGGATCTTCTCATGCAAGAAATAAGAAAATCCGTTCGCAACTTTTCTAGTAATAGCGGTGTAAAGTCAAACATCCTGTCGCCGCGGCGGCGCGGCGGCGCGGCGGCCGGCGCTGGCCGTTACGCGCCGCCTGAATTGTAGACTGTGCCGGGGCGGGACGGTTCCGTCTTTACATCGCGCTCCTTACCGCTGATTATATTCGATTCGCGTCAAATTTTGTGAAAAGACTGAGAAATGTACAGGCAATCATATGGTCATAGAATTTTGAAAATCGGCCGGTAACAACTTGAGGTATGACTCGAGTGTGTAAACACAAAATTGTGATTGCCGCGTTTCCCGCGTCGGCCGATCCCGCTTCAGCCGGCGACATCTTACCTTTAGCAGGCTTCTAACTGCCATATTTATTGTTGGATTAACTAGAAATTCACCATTCATACTTAAAAATGTATGTTCTTTCGTATAGTGAAAGAAAAAAGAAAATCAGACGGTAACTTTCTGAGTTATCGGCGTGTAAACGCAAAAGAGTCGCTCATATGGCAGATTTGACCACATTTGACCTCATTTGACCTTGAAGATAGTGACCTAGGGTCATGAAATTCACACACAACAGAGTTCCCCAGGATGCGTGTTAAAGGGAGCCAGTGCGCGTGTTAAAGGGACCCTCCCGGCTCCCACCTTCAAAAAGTGAAAGGGACCCTCCCACCTTAACATTAGATTTGAGTTGAGATAGTCAAAATGGGGTCCCTGGCTCACAATTACCGGTTTCGGCACTCACAACATCGAGAAATGCCTTAAATCGGAAATATTGAATTTCAAAATTGCAGCATTTTGATTCAGAGGGGCTAATGCATTTGAATACCCCTCTGAATGTGTGACGTCAGTGCAGACTGCAGATATCTTACGATTTTTAAATGTTTGACTAAAACGTTTTGTAGCACGCGGTGGTATATGCTGCTTTGCGCGCAACAAGTGCCGCACTTTTAGCTGCCAAACTATTGCTTCCAAATAAAGTCGCTAGGAACAGCGGAGATCCCAAAAAGTAAACAAAAGTAAAAGTCTAATATCTTGAAAACCGGTGAATATTTTTCGGTGAAATGTGGTATATATTCGTTTTCGCTCTTTCTGAACCGAGCGACATCACTGTCATGCCAATTCATAAACTTTTTTGAAGGTGGGAGGGTCCCTTTAATGAATTGGCATGAATGTGATGTCGCTCGGTTCAGAAAGAGCGAAAACGAATATCTACCAAATTTAACCGAAAAATGTTCACCGGTTTTCAAGATATTATAGGTACTTTTACTTTTGTTTACTTTTTGGGATCTCCCCTGTTTCTAGCGACTTTATTTGGAAGCAATGATTTGGCAGCCTTGAAGTGCGGCAGACGTTGCGCGCAAAGCAGCGTATACCACCCGTGTTGACGATGTTTTTTAGTCTAAGATTTAAAATGGTTAGATCTCCGCTGACGTCACAAATTCTAAGGGGGCATTCCGATACATTAGCCCCTTAGAATCCAAAAACTGCAGGTTTTAAATTCCATATCTCCGAATTAAAGCATTTTTCGATGTTGTAAGTGCCCAAACCGGTATTTGCAGGCCATGGCCACCAATGGGCATCTCAACTCAAAACTAATGTAAAGGTGGGATGGTCGCTTTAAGAAACAGCTCTTGGCTTTAGCCCATTTTTCGTTGTTTATAGGCAAAATAGTTTTGGCGTACTTGATTCGAAGGACCGCGCTCAACGATGCTCAACGATGGCAATTTCCGGTGCAAACCGAATCCGTAATAAATACAGCGTTACGTCGCCAAAAAATCGAACTACGCATGCGCGTTGCATTGTTCCCTCCACTTTCAAAATATTTTTTAATCGCCGCCGTGTTCATTACGGAACGTAACGGTCATTACGGATCCGGTGTGAACCACGCATTACACGATATGAACAAAGCAATATGCCTTGCATCATGCATAGGTCCCATAACACGAGCAAGTCTACATTTTTACACACACGTCCATCTCTTTCTAAGTTCGATACTTACCGCACTTACTTACAACTGTGGTCGGCAGAAAATCGCTAGCGACCGGTTGCTACTGGTCCTGGGACGGAATTATTTCTTTATTATTGCAGAGATTATCTTATCTTACTGCTGTAGTTGTACCTAGTTAGATTACAGGACAGGCTCCTATCAGGAGTCCAAACACAACCATCCCGGCTTTTGCTGTCCCACTAGCCCGTCCTACGTCACAGAGTAGGTATGACGTCATCAGGGGATCAGCTGAACCTACCTCCCTGGTGTTGAAACTCCCCAGTACCTCTCGGTTCCACCAAAACACATACTGTCGGTGTTTATGACGTCACACATACACCCGGGCCCGGTGTAACGGCGTCTCCAAAGTCGCTGACGGACTACCGCCGACAACACACCGCGGCAGAGACGGACACCGTGATTAACAGCCGTGTATTTCACACTCGGTCGTGACTCGCCAACAGAGTCACTGTGAATCACGACTCAGCTGAACAACGGGAGTACACACGTGACGTCACGATCACAAAGGTTCTTCGACGGTTGGACGGAAATCCAGGCCGTGGAATTGTCTCGATTAGTGACCAGGCTGGCCATATAACGCAGAATTATCAACATAAGCTATATGTGTGCTCCAGGTAGCCCGGACCGAGGACCCACAATAGCGACACAAAACACCGCGCTAGAACGTACAAAACCACAAATCTCTGTGCTGGAACGTGTCACATAACCGCTATCCATGGCTGCCCTTTCCGTGGTGTTTCCTGGTCTCGAATGCAGCGGTAAAATGACCGTGTTTCAGGCTAGGCGGGACGACTCAAAGTAGGTACTGCGCTGCCGACGGGAGACGGTGCTGCCATCTGTTGCCGGAATGTGACACCACCAACGGCACGGCAGCCGGCGAGGCGCCGCCCAGATGAGGGTTTAGTCGAAGTAACTCACGTAGACGCTACTGCCGTTGGGCGGTTTGCTAAGCTCTCCCTTTACAGCCCCTGAAAGGAGACCATGTCTGGTCACACACACAACGCCGGATAGTGACGTCATAGACAACCAGTTCAGACTGATGACGTGAGTCGTGACGTCACCTTGAGAGACAGTCACTGTCAATGAGCCGTTAGAGTGACGTCATTAACAGCTAATGCAGAAAAGTGTGCCGTCACTCACATAACATTGTATCACGTTGGCTGATTGTGTAAATGATAAAACCAATCAGTACAAATGCATAAAAAGCATATTGTACCGTTTGAACAGTGACGTCACAAACACCTAGCCCATATTGACGGTGTGACGTCACTTTGTGAAACACACACTGTCAACATATGTACGGCTTACAAGTGACGTGCGTCATACCTCCCGGCTGATGTCTGAGTAGGCATCATATCATGTGAGGCGTGTGTGACGTCACACTACTACTAGTGACCTCTAGTGATAGTGACCTATAGTGATAGTGATGTCTACTGTCTAGTGATAGTGACGTTTAGTGCTAGTGATGTCTAGTCTTAGTGACGTCTACACTACTGTAGTGTAGACTGTAGTGACTACTACTAGCACTAGACTACTGTAGTGCTAGTAGTAGTAATGTCTAGTGCTGGTGCATGCCAGAGAGGCCGGTGGCGCCGTGTCGGCTGGTGTGGGTGGTCAGAGGCGCCGTCACTCACTGGGGACACTGAGATAGATGGTACGGCCCAGGTCTGCCTTCAGCAGGGCGGTCAGAACGGCCTGGCAGTTGGCTGCTGAGGAGGTTAGGTACAGGTGCTCCAGTTTCCTGCAGGTCACTGCCATCCTGTAACAGAACAGAACAGAACAGGTCAGCCTGCGAGACACAGTGACACACAGTGGCACCAGCGGTCACCTCCACACTTCATGGCACGTTGACACTGACAATAGCCAAATAAGACCATAGAAATTGTTTGTAAATTGACATCGTACGACCCACACAGGGGAACGGAGATATGAATACCGCTAGATGAAATGTCCAGACTGGGGTAGTGCGACTCGCAAATAGTGATTACGGAGCGAGCGTCAGCCAGATCACCCATTTGTACGCAGAAGCAGAATAGCCTCGACGGCGTCCTGTTTGAGCCTGTACCGCAGGTCAGTGAGCAGCAGCCTCATCGCCGAGAAGAGCCGCTCGACGCTGACCTGGGTCACCGGCAGCGCAGCGAGTGCAAGGCTGCATGGCTGTATAACCGCGGGGTAGGATGGTATGATGTCCCATACAGCTCGGCCCTTCATTCGACCCAGATTCTTGAGATTGTTGACAGCGTCCCGGGGGATCGGGCGCGTTGACCGTTTGTCCACCTGCCGGCCCTCCTGCTGGTCGAGTTCCTTCTCAAAGAGGTCCTCTGCCCCTTCCTCCTCCGGATCCGAGCTGGAGCTCTGCGTCGACGACAGCGCAAAATCGGACTCATTGCTTTAGATCCGGTGAATGCGTTCCGTCAGCCGTCAGCGTGATGAACGCTGCCTTAACCCGGTTCAGCATCTCGTCCTTAACCCGCGCATGACTGGGGTATTTTCCATAACTCGAGTGACTGGGGGGCTCTCCAGAACCCCCCCCCCCCTCCTATCTCCGAAACTACTGGGCCGATCGTAAAAATTCAAACGGTGCCTGATAGCTCTGGAAAAACTGTCGAGCGAAACCTATTTTCATTGACCTCGAGGTCACCGATGACGTCACAGGTCAGGTCAAAGTTTAAATTATCGGCATTTTTGCTTGTTCACAATTTAGGCTCTGGCCTCCGGCTGACAAGTCCGATCAGGCTCATTTTTGGTTTACGCACTCCTTGATACCTATATGCCTTAGATACCCTGAGGGTACCGAACCTTTACTTCGAATTTTTCAGGTCAAGGCCAGGCAGTGGCGCAGCCAGGATTTCGTTTCGGGGGGTCATCTCCTCCAAAGCGGGCCCTCTAGTGTGCGGGCCCCCCACCCACTTTTCAGAATCTTTCCATATTTCATACGCATTCTGCTGAGCGGGCCCCCTTTACCTGCACGATAACCCTGAGCGAGTTTGAATCGGAAAATTTTGATAGAACAACAGCTCGGTAATCAGTCAGTGCAAAAATCAATATAATATAAAAAAAATCAATCAGTCAGTCAATTTCTACGCGAATTGACCATGACATATGTTACCATGACGTATGAACTCGTATCTTTCGAGGCCGAAATGTGCCTCTTCCGCAATATGCATAGCATACCTATACATACATATGCAAACGGAACTGTTGCCTGCTTCTGTCGCCTGTCGGAATCGGACAGGATTTAAGTAGTCCCATGTGCCTGTCTTAAAGGGACCCTCCCACCTTCAAAAAAGTTTATGAATTGGCATGAAAGTGATGTCGCTCGGCTCAGAAAGAGCGAAAACGAATATCTACCAACTTTCACCGAAAAATATTCACCGGTTTTCAAGATATTAGACTTTTACTTTTGTTTACTTTTTGGGATCTCCGCTGTTCCTAGCGACTTTATTTGGAAGCAATAATTTGGCAGCTGAAAGTGCGGCACTTGTTGCGCACAAAGCAGCATATACCACCGCGTGCTACAAAACGTTTTAGTCAAACATTTAAAAATCGTTAGATATCTGCGCTGACGTCACACATTCAGAGGGGTATTCCTATGCATTAGCCCCTCTGAATCAAAATGCTGCAATTTTGAAATTCAATATTTCCTATTTAACCCTAGAACGCCTAGGGGGGGGTTGTATCAACCCCCCCCCCTGAGGTTTTTTCGAAGTGCACGCTAAACGGCTTGTCGTAGCGGGCTGAAATTTTCAATACCCTCTGGGGCAACCTTTGCGCATCTTATGCCGAAAAAAATTGATCGGGTCATGTCAGGTCACGGAGTTATGACGTCATAAGAGGTACAGCCTCCGGCCGGATTTTCACAAACTGAGTGCCAACGCCCGAGGTTTCCTGCCGGTGGTACGGACATCGGTTGATGGATCGTGATGAAACTTCCCATGCATGTTGGGGCAAGTATTGGCTATCATATGGTATAAGAAATTTGACCGGGTCAGGTCAGGTCACGGAGCTATGACGTCACAAGAGGAACAGCGTCCGGTACTATTTTTGAAAAGCGCCCGAACCACTATTTTGCTAATTCTTGTCACCTCAATGGGAATATGCAGCAATATTAGCTTCTATAGGGAGCAAATGGACCTCCCAAATCCAAAAATACAATCAGATTTCAAAAATTTAAATTTTGATTTTTCGAATTTCTGCCGCCGACTGTGACCTTGCCGACTTCCGGCGCTCCCAACGCGCCATTTTTAGAGCTAGGGAAACGAAATACATACCAAACGATAGAGAATTGATCAAGGAACACGATAGTGAAGGTTTCAAGTCGATATCTCCCACCGTTTTGCCGCAATCGCCGCCGAAAGTTGAAAAAAAGTCTATTTTTCCGAAAATTTGACCTTTGACCGGTCAAAAGTAGGTCAAATGTTGACCTAGGACCAAAAAATATACAACCAATCGCGAGATCTCGTTGAGAGCAATCCGTTGGTTTTTTCCGCTAAGCTCTACGACCTTCCGTTTCGAAACGCCAGGGGGGGGGGTCGTAACAACCCCCCCCCCTGGTCGTTCGTGTTATGAGAAATGGCCTGGTCGTGCGAGGGTTAAGGCATTTCTCGATGTTGCGAGTGCCGAAACCGGTAATTGTGAGCCAGGGACCCCATTTTGGCTATCTCAACTCAAATCTAATGTTAAGGTGGGAGGGTCCCTTTAAGTCATCTATTGGCTGCTGTAGTAGATTTTGCCTTTATTCTTCTTCATTACGTGAATTCGCTCACAATAAGTTTTAACCCTCGCCGGCACAGGGGGGCGGATTATGCAGCCCCCCTCAGGTTTTTCGCGAATAACTCGCGTAAAAAGCGGCCGATCGCGACCTAACTTTCAGTACCCTCGCGTTGATCAGTTTTACACCTACCCTTAAAAATTTCATGACCCTGACCCAAATGACCTTTGACCTGTGACGAACTTTCCGAGACCATGTTTGGCCAGAATCGCGATTCGGCGTATGCCGGCTCGCATTAGCCGCGCTTTTGAAGTCTTCTCGTGGTTTCAAGCTTTCTGTGAGTTGATGCTGCTCCCATGCATTAGGGTGGATGTCAAGGTCACCTGAAGGTTAGGTCAGGTTATTGACCTATGATGACCTCGGTGTTTTTTTCGAATTATACATGTTTCTAGGCTAGTTTTTTTTTTAGCTGAATCCGAATTCAGCAGCCATTGGAACACTTACGAAGTAGTTTTGGTGCCTTCGTAACATGTTACGAAGCTGCCAGAGGCGGCTGACACGTAGGTACTACGAATACCCGGCAGGACCTTTACTGGTTGACCTGACCTGACCTGACCCGACCTGGCCTAAATGCATAAAGACATCATCTGTGATCAAAACTAACATGATAACTTTTCGTGATCAGCACCCCGAAAAAAAACCTATAGCAGCCACACTTTACGACGTTCTAACATGTCCCGATTTTCCCGATTTTTGGGTCATTGACCTGATCTGGAAGGTCAACCAATGACCACGAACCTTAAAATTGGGTATCATCGGCTTCCTCTCGTCACGGGCAACATGTTCGTTTTTTCGCGAAGCTCTAGCTCGAGCATGGGCCAAACGCGAGGGGGGGGGTCGTACCACCCTCGGGCCGGGTTTGTTGTGGTGTGGTACGGTGGTGATGTGGTGACGTAGATTTTGTCTGCTACCGAGGTCCCGGCATGGTGTTACTTAGCGCAGGGTATGGGTCAGACCGTTGCGCCTAGTGCGCTGAAATTTGCGCAACGTATAGATCAAGGATGGGCAACGTGCCTTTGAGGGTCTCAGCTCGATCGGATCAATAGCGAGCACATGGTGCGTGCTCAAAAAGTGCAAATTCGCGTCATAGACTTTACATGTATAAATCGGCTTGCAAAATCGGGCGAAAATGGCTAAATTTGCCCGACACGGGTCCGCTCCCCGTGCATTATCTCGGTAACCGTGGGCCCGATCGGGCCGGGGAACACAGTATAGTGAAAAGAATCGAACGGGCTATCGAATGGTGTGCGGTGCAGGGATGGCACGCGCCACGTGCACCCGTGAGGGCACTTATGCTGGAAAATTGACGTTTCGGACAGATTTGGGACTTAATGCTATTTTCGGGTGACTGTTTGACGGAGTGGGTTCAAACTTCAAACAAAGCCTGTGGGCAAAAAAAAATGTAGCGTCTCTCATGGAAAAATTGTGAAAAGCTAATTGACCAAAAACAAGGTGGAACAAATCGCTGAAGAAAATGGTATTTGTTAAGCACTAACTTAATTACACGGGTTTTTCTGCATAACCTGGTACGTTTGACAGTTGAAAATGGCATAGTTGGAAAGAGCATTACATTTTGTTCAAAATCCAATCATCACTTTTGCATGACGAGCAACAGTATTCTTAAAAATATAAATGTTTCAAACCTCTTTATAGTAATTCATCGATGGCTTTAATTTTTTAATAACCTGCGTCAACCTTTGTTATAAACTACACATAAAATGTTCTATAGTAGAACGCATGCTTATCAGACACGAGCACCTCAACTCAATGCGATGGATATTTTTTCCCAAACCAAAATGCTTAGCCGTCAAAAAGCAATCGACCGAAATGGATGCATAACCCACGGACACAAGACCAACCAAACGCCCACTGATCGAAAATACCTCTTATTCGCGTTGCGGAGCAAGCGGGTCACCCTAGCGAGCCCCATTCAACCGGGGGCCCGGGCCCTATCCACACGGGGGCGCGGGCCCTATCCACACGGGGAC